TGAGTTCAATGGGGCAAGACGAGTGTTTAAAAGTTACAACCGTGGTCACAGAACAAATTAAACTTATGTCTGAAGGCACCTTGACGTTCAAGAAACTGTCATTGGAGCAGGTGGCCAGCAGGAGACGCCGTCGCGTGTTGGTGAACTGGCAGTGGTTGACCTGCTCCTCGTGTTCCACCTCAAAGACCCTCAGCAACATGCCACGCTCTGCGTTCCACACCTGAAAAGACGGGCAGACACACACCAAAAAAAAAAAACCCCAATAATAAAAATAATGTGCGAGCTATAATATCAAGCTATAAAATCAAATTTCACTTTTACCTTCACTTTCCTGTCGCTGGAGCAAGTTGCTAGGAGACGGTCGTCGGGGGAAAAGGCGCAACAGAGAACCTCGTCATCGTGGGCTTGGATCTCGGTCAGCTTTTCGCCGGACGTGCTCCTGAAAACCTAACGTCATAGAACGGGAGTATGATGTGATTTCTCACTTGAAACAAAGAGACGGCAGCTCCACCCAATACCGCTTTGAATTTTGTGGAAAATTGTTGTCCTCGTTTGAACTGCTTCCAGTCACATACCTTGAGCGTCTTGCTGGCTCCACACGAGGCGATCTTGGTTCCGTCCTGGGAGAAGCAGGCGGCGTAGACGGAGCCCTGGTGCGGATGGATCACCAGCCGGGAAAGACTCTCCACGCTGCTCTTATTTCTGCACATGGAGCCAAGTTGATGAAAACCCCACCGGAAAACGTGAACGAGGCTTCCTCGCTTGCTTACAGCCAGTCAAAATAGAGTTTCCCGCTTCTGGCCCGCTCCTGCGCCCGCTGCAGAGCCTGCCTGTAGACTTCCGAAGCCTGAGGCTGCGACAGAGCCAGCTGGACCACGTCGGGAAACGGCCGCTGCTCCAGCTGGTGGCCGTTGAGGGACAAAAACTCCTGGAAGTGACTGCGCACGTTGCTGTTCTGCACGGGCGGGAAACTCCTCACTTACTTGAGCCATCCTCCATGCTACAGCCTGCATTTTGATTACCTTTTTATCCAGAATGGATCCATACTCCACAAAGTCATTTAAAAGATGAGCCGGACCCAGTATCTGGGCCTTGTGGGTGATCCAGTCCAGTGAGAACATGAGCGAGTAGAGCTCCTGGGAAGTCAAGGGCACCATCAGGAATATGGAATCCACTCCCTTCAATGAACGTTTCTTACCTGGGAGAGGTTGGCTTTGGCCATGTGGTAGGTTAAGAACCGGATCCAGTAGAGGCATTCTTCGTCTCCAGATGTGGGCGGGGTTTCACTGTAGTGCTGCTGGTACTGACGCACCACCTTGGTGTGAAGGTTCTGCAGCACGAGCACACACGTCACTAAAAAGAACCCTTTTTTCTTACAAGCGGACTTCGATACGGACCTCGAGTTGGGCGCGATTCTGCTCGACCAAGAAGTCCAGTTGGAGGTCGTGGAGGTAGTACAGTGCAGGTTTGCGGTGACTGTCCACAAACAGAAGAGACTTGTTGACAAACTCCTCCAGGATGTCCTCCACCTCCTCGGGCTCGAGATCCCACAGAATGGACAACACCTGGAGAAACAGTACCAGGAAAAAAAAAAAACGCGTCTTTTGGATGTGTTCATCGACAGTCTGGCAATGTGTTACAAAATAAATTAATAACATCTTAAAATTAACAAACAATCCAGTATGGAAACGTTTCAATTTGGACAGCAGCCTTAAAAAAAAAAAGCACACTTGTCCACCAGATGACACTATTTCCTCCCATTCAAAGCACACAACACATTTCATACCTTTTTTTGTTTTCGTCCTATAGACAACTGTGCGGTTTTTAAAAATGTAATTCACCTTGGCGGGAATTTTGATGTCGGGCTCCAGCACGGCGAGGTCCCTGTAGAGCTCCCGGTGCTCGTCGGGCAGCACTTCGATGCTGGCCGCCATTGCCTGGTCCAGCGCGTCGTAGTCGTATGACGACGATTTACGGATGCGCTTGAACTGCTTCTGCTGCAGCTGCCGCAGGTAGTAGCTCCAACGGTCGGGCTTCTCTTTGAGTAGCGCGCCAATCAGGGAGACCACCAGAGGGGACCCTGAAGTGGACGAAACGCGTGTTCTAATCACAGAAAAGCAGCAACCTTTTTTTAAAAATATACATTTGGGAGCGAAGATCAAGATTGCAATGCACCTTTACATTCTCTCACAATGCTCCGAGCCTCCTCAGGCAAACATTCGAGTGCGTTTCTGGTATACAGGGCAATAATCTCCAGTGCCTTGTTGTCATCCAAACCACTCTCAACCTCCACTTCATGTTTGGCACCTGAAAAACAGGTTGACGACGAAGTTTTTGGAGCTAGAACTCGGCGCACGGTGGTTTTGGGAGTCAGTGAATCGCTTACCACTAACTGAGTCAGTGAGGCTTCTATTCCTGGTGCTCAGAAGGATGCGGCAGTGGATATCGAATGATTTCAGCACCGTGCTGTCCCAGATGTCATCCAGAATCAGCAGAGATCTGGAAATAGACAATTTCTTAAGAAACACTCAAATGTGATCACATGCAGTGCATAATTCCTTCAAAACCAACTTTCACCTGGGGTATCTGCGCAACACCAGGAAGCGCAGACGCTCCTTGGCCTCGTCCAAGGAGGTGGGAGGCCGTTGGAGGGATTGGGAGTCCAGGCTCTGCTCCAGGCGGAAGCACAGCGCTTGGATCTTCACCAGCAGGTTGGCTTTGTCCAGCTGGCCGATGGACAACCAGTGGATACCTCCTGGGAAGCACTCTGTTGGGAAAAAAAAAATCTCAGCACCAAGTCATTGGCCATAGAAACAAATGAGACCCGGCGATTAATCACCTTCAATCAGTCTCTGGTCTCGTACAGCTTCCGCCACCAGCACAGATTTTCCCGAGCCGGCCATCCCGAACACAGTGACCCATCCCGTGTCCTGCCGGAGATGGTAGAGCTTCTCCCGGATCTTGTTGATCAGTTCGGGTCGGCTGACAAAAACCACAGGCCTCTGAGGGACCCCGCCTGCGCTCAGAACTATTTGGACTGATAGAAAAGAAGGGTCACAGTCACAGTCCATAAAGTTTCCAACTTCCTGGAACTGTGCAAGACTAATTCTCACCATCAGATGTGCTGTTAGAGCTGTTTGGTGTGTCACCAGGAAGGGCGGCGTGAAGCAAATTAGCCAAGTCGTAGTACGCCTCCTTGACGAGAGCATTATAAAATGAGATAAAAGCGCTGTTGTCCTTCTTGAGCAGCAGTTCCAGTAGCGACGCCGCCTGCTCTTTCCTGCTAGGCTGCAGAAAGACACAAAATCACCACATGCTTCAGTGGGGAACTATTTTTTTGGAGTACCACCAACCCATTCACTGATCCTCTCTTCCTCCTCGCCGCTCAGCACGCCGTCACTGATCATGTGATCCATCAGGTAGGCAGGCTTGATATCCTGCTCCAGGTTCTGGCGAAAGCGTAGCAGGCTGCTCCGGGCGCCTTCGTCCAGCATCATGACCGCCCATGCAGGAACCTGTTGACCAAATTGGGGTTTTTGCAACAGACACTGATGTTGACGTATATTTTTTTGTATCCATCGCGGACCTGAAACAATCAGAAGCTCTGACCTACATTGACAACCTAAATTCTATTTTCCTCATTAAATAAGTACTAAGTAAATTTTCTTCTTTTTTTGGTGGGGGGGGGGTTGACTCCCAAAAGTAAATTTTCTTCTTTTTTTGGTGGGGGGGTGTCATATCATGGTTTGATTCCTCAAGTGTCAGGTCTTTAGTTATGTTTCTAAGGAGGATGCTGATTTAGTCTTGAAACAGGAACATGTTACAACGAATGAGGAAAAACGCAATAAAAATAACGATGACGAGAGTAAAACTTTTCCAAAACTTTCAAAATGACATTTTCCAGTGAAATGGACATTTTACTTCCCCTCATCTTTCATTTTACAACTTAAAATCGAAACTCTTTCTGCATGTCGAGACAAGTTTGCCCACGACCAAACAAAGAAAGTAGCCGTGGAAGGATACTTACGAGTGTCTTCTTTTCTCTAAAGGGGAGGATATTTAGTCAACTGAGTATGACTGTAATTTAAAGTCACAAAAACGTGTAAGAAGTGAGCAAAAATTGTTTGACGAAGCCACACACCTACAACTTGCTTCCTGGTTGACAACAAAATAACAACCAGCCCGGCAGGAGACGACGAATAGTGTGACAGAACCAAACCACGTGACGCGTGAGGTCATCCGTTCTGCTTGTTTGTAACTGGGCAGACGAGTGTTGCCTTTAGGGACGAGTTGTTCGCTGGGAAAATTGATTGATAATTTGTTTACCAAATTACAGTATCTCAACGAGAAAATACAGTAGTTTTAGCAACAATTAGCAGCTAAAAATCGTTCTGTGATAGATATATGTATGCTGTTCTGCGATAGAATATATTTATTTTGCAATGTGTGTATTTTTACGGAGAATTAAAGGTACCAATGCTGCCTACAGACAGGTATGTTGATCTCACAGTTGGTTATTATGCAAATAGAATTTACCCTAAATATAGATTACGAGCTGTTGCAAAAATGCTTATTAGTATACCCATGACATTTAAAACTACACGCATGGACCAATTTAATATCACTTTTATTTTTATGATATTAAGTGTAGTACAGAAGAAAATAACACATTTATGTAAACTTCAGCTAAGTTAAATAATTGCTTTTTTTGTTCTGAGCATCTTTGGATCCACACTGGATGCAGAATCCCTTTGGAGCTCAGCACCTATGTGTGTGTGTCCACGCAGGTTCAATCAAGCCAATCCAGGAATACGGTAACGAACTGGAGTACCGAGTCATGTAACAAACATCACCAATCACACAAAACCGATCGAATAAATTGACATATAGCGCAAACATCTGGAAAATTCTCCCTCAGTTACATGAGCAAAAACGGCGAACGCAAAAATGCACTCATGCCTACAACAAATATACACCAAAAAGATCCCTAATGTTTTTTTCATAGCTTCTTGAAGAGGCTAAAAGGTTTGTAGCACGATTCATATAATATATATAAAACTTTAAACACTCATCATGTGTGCTGCTACGCTATATGGATTCTAAATATAGAAATTTGCTTTCAAAAGCTGGAACTCTTCCATACATTTAAATGCAAGAATCATAGACATTTCTTTTTACTTTCCCACAAATAATGCATCGTACTTCATCTATCTATGCTGGCGACGTAGAGTAACAAACAGAAAAATGAAATGCTCCGCCATTAGATACCAAAAGAAATACCAATCTGTTGCTATTCATTTAACAGAACAATAGCTTTGCATTTTAAAACTAAACAGGCCGTTGTCAATATTGCCATACATTTTATGCTTGATGAGACGTTTCCAATGTAAAATATGTGCCTTGGCGATATAAAGGTTGGGAAACACTGGGCTTCACACGTCACTGCTGGCAAACCCAGCTCGGTTGCAAAAGAACAAAACGGACGTCAGGGGTTCATTCAGAGGTGACAGTGTCCTGAGGAGGGGAAGATGGCGGCGGCGACGACGACGATGGCGGGCTGTTGGTGAACATCAACTTCCTGATAATGTCGGCGTAGAAAGGTCCATACACAGCCTTGTTGTAGTTGACCAGGGAGAGGAACTTAGCGGCCAGGGAGACCAACTCGGAGCGGATGGCGGCGAGACCAGCGGGCGTTTGCGCCAATCTGGCTTGAGGTTTGGGATCGCAGATGAGCGCCATGAAGTAGTGCTGCACGCGGTCCTCTGCGGATGGAGAGAGACATTAGGTTGTGATTCCGGTCAGGAAAACCGGAGGTGAAGAATTCGGAACATACCGACGAGAGTGCGGATGGGGTTGTCCTTGTGGGCGATGCTGCAGATCTGGCCCGTGAGGGTGTCCTGCTGAGCGGGGCTCAGCGTGGAGTAGCCCCTCTCAACTAGCGACTTGTTCAGCTCGCTGCAGATCTGAGTGCTGACGCCCACTAGTGCCTCCTGTAGGCTAATCATCCTGAAAAGCCCACACAAAAACAACCAAGATACAGTGAGACTGTTTGGCATTGGGACGGTTGTAATTTCAAAACCTTGAGCGTCGGTGTGTACTCACGGGTTGTGCATGTGGTCGAGGAGCACGGCCGTCATCCTCTTGAGGCGCTCGGAGAGGGCCGCCACGCCCTGGATGGGCCCGCCGACTGTGCTGTGGACGATGAGGAGAACCTCGTTGACCGCCTGCCAGCGCCTCAGCTCCGCCTGTACCTCTCGCAGACGCCCCTCATCCGTCATCCACGTCTGAACGCGCCACAAAGAAAAGCATTTAGGCAGGTTATTCTGCAACAATTTTGGCCTGTTTTACCGTTACCCCACCCCCACCCCCGTCTCTAATTTGTGGATCTGGGAAGCCCATTAAGACACTTTTGTGATTAACGGCTTTCTATATTAACTTGACTGATTGAAATCATTTCAATTTAAACTGTTCAGTTCATTGAGGGCATTTACAAAACTATTTTAACATGAGCCTACTCACCTCTGGGAGAGGGTGCTTTGTGGCGTCCCACACGAGGATGTGTAGGAAGGCCGCATTGAGGACTTGGAAGGGTCCAGGTAAACACGGCTGTCCTTTTCCCCGATTGCTTGGCATGGTGGTCAGTAGCTCCTCGAAAGTCATTTTGATCCAAGCGGTGGTGTTGTCCAAAGCACCTAAAGGAGACGCCACCACACAGAAGGAAGACATCAGACACGAATGCCTTCATCTCGTGGTCGGTTGTGTTAGCGCTCCACTCACCGGGTGTCTTGTCCAGGATGCTCTGGAACGTTGCCCTCTCGTACTCCACACTCTGCTTCTGCATGACTGGCCGCAGGTTGTCGATGGTGAGGTTGACAAAGTCTGCCTTCATCAGGTCCAGGACGCGGAAGATCTCCCTAGTGGGCACGGCCCTCACGTCAGCATGAATTCGCTGGAGACGCACGCGGGTCCGTTTTACCTGAAGAGCATCACAATGTTGCCCGTGCTCTCCCTCAGCTTCTTAATCTCTTCGTCACGGACGGGCGCGCACAGCTTTCCCATGGCGCTGATGACGTACGAAGCGAGGCCCGCAATGTCCACGGCGTCGTTGTCCACCTGCTGCCTGATCAGGTCCATGTCCAGCACCTCCATGATTTGCGTCCGCATGCGGTTGGCGCCGGGGTTGAGGAAGGACAGCAAAATCTATCCAACACGGGGATCACCTCGCATCAGCGACAGGAACAAGGTGATTATTATTTTATTTTATACCTCTCGGATCTCCTCCAGGAGTTTGATGGCCTGCTGGTACTCGGGCGGGTCGTCATTCAGCTCAGACTCTAAGATGTCCCAGAATGCTTTGTGGACATTGTCGCGAACCATCTTCCATAAACTGGAAACACAGCAAGTGAACGTTGCTCGACTTGGAACTTTTGAATTTCGGTGCATGAGAATGAAAACCCCAAAATGCGCGTAAGAGACATACCCGTGCTTGTGTAGACATGTTTCCCAACCTTTTTTTTGAATGAGAAAAACCTCCCAACACACTATCTCAATTCAGACTTTGTCAGTGTGAAGTCTGGGCGTGTTTAGCACGTGATTCTATTGCATGTGTGGTGACAGGTGGATACACAGGTTTGTCATACCTTCCACCAACCAACTAGTTGAAATTGTTTCGCGTTGTTCTGCCTGTCACTGCATGTCGCTAGCAAAGAAATATGAACAAAGATGCATTATGTGTCATACATTAGTGATGCTTTTCAGACCACTTAAGTGGCACTGTGGTTGGGAATCACGCTCCGGTTGATTGCGCAACATTTGAAAGTTGTTTTCCTGGGTACGTTTGGAAAGTTTACTCGGCGAGCAAGGACCACGAACTTGTTTCACGATGGGAGTACAAATATTTGCTTGCGGCGTGAGACTCAAAACAGGCAAGGGGGGGGGGTGTGTTTGATAACACCTTTACATGTGCGATAATTACCTGTCCTCGGGCAGGGTGTGTGGCTCCAAATGGAAGTCGCGGTTGACGACTATCTCATGGAACAAGGTGAGGTTGGAAAGGTCTCTGGCGGGGCCCATCACCTCATCCAGGGTGAGCGTCTTAGGAGGGCTCGCTGGTAGGGAAAATTTCACATTACTTCATCTCAACTCCCACTTTCACATATGAAAAAAGAAAAAAAAAACCCAACCACATCTAAGAAAAAAATTCTGGGCACTCACAAGAGGGCGAGCAGTGCTTGCTGGAGCCGTCGCTGGTGAAGCTCTCACGCGAGCAGTCGGTGTCGCTGGCCGACGCGGTGCTGTCGCAGCGCCCCGACGACGACTCACCATCGCTGCCCTGCTCGTCGCCGCTGGAGGTGTATGACGGACGCTCGTTGTTCAGGGGCATTTTCAAGCTGCCAGGCAGACCATACAGTTTCATTACAAACCTTAACTTTGGACTTGAGAACCCTCATTTGAAACCCTGACCCTTGTTTGAGTCTTTTGCTGCAAGACCACCAACTTCTGCGAGGCCCATCGCTATGGAAACGGTTGCTACATGATGCAAGCCACAGTCAAAAAGAAAACAACAACAATCCACTTTGGATAGCAGCTTGTTTTCACTGGGAGCGAGATCAAGTGTCTCCCCGGGAACGCGCGTCAACTGCAGGATCCAGTGACATTTGAGGTCTTTTTAAAGTAAAAAGTGTCGCAAAAAATGTTCCCTAGAGGCAGCAGGCAGTGAAGAGGATGACATAAGAGCAACCCACCCAGCTGTTTAGCAAAAACGACGGTTATCTTGATTATCTGGAATAACATGTTCTTTAATGAAGTCTTAATTAAATGTGCACTCAGTTATCATGTACTATTTTTTTTGCTTTATTTTAGAGTGGCATTCTCCCACAATTAGACAGGTGTCTAATACTATCTAAGGCCCCCCGGAGTGCTAGTCCTGCTATCTGGAGCTAAAAATGAATGCCCACTCCCACTTTGGTTTAAAGATAGCACTATAAAGGGGGGTGCTTGCTCATGTGTGTGTAAATGTGTGTGTGTGTGTGTGTGTGTGTGTGTCTGTAGCTCATTACATCATCCGCACGAGCAGTTAGGTCATGTAAAAAAGCAGCAGGCTAATTTCCGTGGATTATCCAGAGAGATTCCGGACTAGGGATTATTTCTGGCATCTGCGCTTCCATCACAAATCCAGTATCAAAACGGCGACATTTGTCTATTTTGGAGCACTACTAGAGTCCTGTTTATACATGTTTACTTGCAGTCTGTGAGGGAAACAAAAATGCCAAAATAAATGGATTTTAGACCGATTTTAGGAGAATGCGTGTAGAAAATATTGCATGTATAGTATAGGCTGAAGTGTGTATTAATGTTATGATTGTGGGCTGCAAAGTGTCAGGACAAAGAGGTCCAGATTGCTGCAGCACAACGTAAACAAAGCAGTGGATGAAAGAGGCGGGTCTTAAATAAATGGACACTCCTCATTGGCTATCGCCGCCCGTCTATCATCCCTACATGGAAAATCTTTGGTTCCGAGCACAGCACATGGACCAAAAAAATATCCACACACTCGTGAGAACAAGGTACACGTGATCTGGACTCATACACAAACAAGAACAAAAGCCAGTAAAGGTATTTTCAAACAACAATTTAAACCAACTAACATTTATTCATAAAACCATTGGCATACTTTTAGGGTTGTTTTGACAGTTTTGTCTTATTTACAATACAATTGTTTTTACATTTATTTATTCATAAAACCATTGTCATACTTTTAGGGTTGTTTTTGACTGTTTTGTCTTATTTACAATACAATTGTTTTTACATTAATGCGTCGTCTTGTGTGTAGTAAGGACGAACAATTTTTTAATTTCGGTCGAGTTTGCGGGAAATAAAAACAAGCTGCTTGTATTTCGAAGATTCCACCGCAGTTCTCATAAGTGAACAAAACTCGCATTCGAGCGAGGCGATAAACGAATGCTTCGCGACTGGTTAAAAAAATAATAAAGTACATTAGAAGTGTGTCCTTACCGTATTTAAGTCTCCCGAAATGGAGACTGGTAAAAAAAAATAGTTGCTTTGAGAAGCGAAGCTGTGTAGTTTCCCGTGTTGTAATCTTGACGGTTTAAAGGTCCTACAACTCGGAGGAGCTCCAGGACGTACGGGCGAAACCATTTGTGACACGCGGGGGTAACGTCTATGAACATGCGCACAAAAAGAACGCCAGACTGTCATATATCCCATAAAACGTTAACAGCATCAATGCAGCGACAATAAACACTGTAAATATAAAAGATGTGGCACACATTTTGACAGGAAGATGAATAGATGCGTGATATGATTACTGTGTCACCCCTGGGTGAAATGGTACGCTCTTCTTGGCTACATGGAGGAGGTCTTTGTTTACGGATGTGACTTCACTAAGGAATAAAATAACAATTCTCGTCATTGAAGGAGACTTTATTTGACATTCACGTATTCCCTTTTCGTATATAAACGAGTGAAGATTTAACGATTGTCATTATTGTGTGATGTGTAAATTGCAGTTGAGCGACTTTTCTCCATCACAAAATAACTACACACTGCTGAACGATTGTATTCTTTCCTTTATATGTACACAGTTTCACCGAACCACCGCAGATCATTATGAAATCACAGAACACACAAATTCCAGCAGTAGTGTGTGCGTGGTTGGAATGACCAGAAACTTTCAGAGAGCGGCTTCCAGCGGAAACACAAAATGACAACTGTGCACATTTAATTTAAAATCTAAGAGTATCTGATGAGCTGGGTGGACATCGGAGGTCAGTGCAGTATAAACCATCAGAGAGAATCATTATTATTGCACAAGTTTCATCGCCTAAGGCCTCTCAAGCTCTCACACCCAACAAAAACTGCAGAGGACCTTCCACACCACCTAATGAAAAAAAAAAAAAACTTTTGGAAAAGTTTTGAAATCGAAATATATAGTGACTTCTTTACTATTTAAAAGTGACAATAGGAATGGTACACTTCATGTGTAAAATCTTTCCAAGACAGACAAAAGCTCAACGTTCATTGGTCACCTTGACAGAAAGTAAGACAATCAATTTAAACCCTGTAAGGCACAAGAGCCTACAATGCACCTTGTTAGCATTAGCGTCGAGCTACAAGTGATACTCCAGTCATACTGCATTTAAAGGAAGTGAAAGGTAAATGAGAGCGTGTGTGTGTGTGTGTGTGTGTGTGCATTATGTTACTGCTGCTGCAGATTTGTTGCCATGGAGACGGCCTGCAAAAAGGCCAACCTTCCCGGATGCTACACATCGAGCTACCTCCCGACTGAATATCCTTAAAGAGTCTGAATAAGGTAAATCAGATTCATAAAGTACCGGTAACTCAACTCCTGTGTGCGCCCCACAGAACATCAAGTAGAAAAGAGTATGAAACCCACAGCTTTGTCGAAGACACCATACAAGAAGTAACACGTTGTCCTTCAAATACAAACGGGGTGCAGAATGTGAGCACGATCAAAAATAGACACGGTAAAAGTGGACTCTTTTTCAACTTCACATTAGGTCTATTTCAGCCAAAAAGGTCTTTCAGGTCGCTGTTGGCGGATGTGCTGTGCTTCAGTCCGCTTTGGTTGGCGCCGGTTTGAGAGAAGTTCTGCGGGCTGAAAAAAGGGTTCGCTTGCATCCCGAATCCCGCCGCCGGCGCCCCCGGCAAGGCGGGCTGAACGTTCTGCACCGGAGTGAACTGACCCAGCCAAGGGGTGCCGCCTCCGGGCGCCATTTGGTTCAGGGAGACTTTGGGCTTGTTGGATGTGAAAAGGTTGTCCAGCGCCGACATATTCATCTGGCTGTGGTTCTGCGCCAGAGCGCCAAAGTTTGGGGTGCTGGTGGTGGAGGCCATGCCGCCGTAGCCGGCGGAACCTGGAGGCCGCATGCTCATCCCCATGCCTGCCGACGGAAAGCCAACTGCCGGGTTGAAGCCGTTGGACACCGGGGCGCCCATGGGGGAGGCCGGGAAGGCGGACATGGCGGGCGAGGCCTGCGCCATGGGGGCTCGCGGTGTGTTGCTCACGGACATTCTGTTCAGGGACGCCATGTTGGTGAGGAGGCTGCTGGTTAGATCTTTCGTCTGCAAGAAAAACACACAAGAATTAAAGCGATATAGTTTTGTGCTCTTTCTGGGCCACTCTAAGACACCACCAAAGCCATGTGTCGATAGGAAAGTAGTACGATAATCAATGTCAAAGGAAGTATTGTTGGAGTGACAGATTGTAAAAATACCTGTGAGTTGGCCGACGCAGCCGGTTTGATACTCTGTGGTGCTAGTGGCTGCTGACTCCTCAGTTTGGCCGCCTGCTCCTGCTCTTTAGCCAGTCGCTGCTTCTCCTCCAGAGTCAGAGACATCTGAAGGCAGCATCGAAAAGTCCATGACAAGAGCGTCATTTAAAAACAACACAAAAACGTGGATTTCTTACTCGATTAGGCTGCGGGGCTGCTGCGGAGGATCCGTTCTCCTTCCCGTTCACCCCCGTGCTGCCAAAGATGTCATCAATCTGAAAGAACATGAAACAACAAAATCATTCAATAACTTTTCTCGCTCTTGACCGGAAATAGCCTCACCTGGTGCGACGACGAGGGGTTCTTGGCGTCCTCCGATGGCTTCTCTGTGCCAGAGATGTTCAAACTCCTGACGGGAGACGATGGCAAGATATTAAGAGACCAAGCAGGACGCTTTGGTGTCGTCAGCGTTTCAAATGGAAAATCACCTCTGCTGTTCCTGCATGATGTGGAGCTGCTCCAGCTTGGTCTTGTGCTCGGCCTCCATGCGACTCAGCATCTCTCGGATGACCACCATGAACGAGTTGAACTGCAACAGAAATAGGGTTGTATGTTTTAGTTCATTGATACAGTCATTTCATAGTACCCTTTTATTGACCTGCGCAAACCCTGATTTTACAATTTTACACTGACACCTAAAAAGTACCTGATTGAGGTTGAGGTTGCCGTCAATGCTGAGTGACACCAAGTGCGGCAGGGTCTTGGTGGCCAGGTTCTCCTTGGGGATGCCTAGCTTCTTGTGACTAAAGGTGCACTTGTAGATCCCTAAAGAGGTGGCAGGTAAGGCGGCAGATAAATAACATTTTTTTAAAAGACATAAAATAAATCAGGCAGACCAGGATGAGAAGCTCACCCAGGATTCCCATGAGCACCGCCGGTTCCCTGGAGGGGATCTGCTGCAGGAAGGGCAGGATCTCGTCAATGACAAACCACTTGTCCATGTATTCCAGGATCTTCCCGAGACACACCAGTGAGTTGACGCGCACCTACGTGGCCACAGGAAGGGAAACGTCACCATTGCCATTTGTGTGTGTGTGTTTTCAAGAGAGGCTGAAAAAGACTCACGGCGAGCGAGGATGTCTGCAGGCAGGCGGATTTGATGCGAGGGATGAGGGAGTTCTTGATGGAAGGGTAGTCGATGAGGTTGGTGAACGTCGGGATGATGTTGAGGCACAGCTCCTGGAAGGCGCCGCACAACATACATCATATGCAATTGCACGTTTGCATCACACTTGGACAGCAGCTTTGCATTTGTGTCCCGCTGGTTCACTTTTTTTCCACTCCGAATATTCCAGCGCGATTCATCGAAAGGACTGTTGCCATCATGTTCTTGTGGAAGCGCAAGACAAACGCTATTTTGCCAAACACAAAAAATGGCCACCTGGATCTGCACAGATGGGGCTTCCAGAGCTCGGTAAACCATCGGCAGCACGCTGTTCTTGATGTCCTCCGCCGGCGTTTTGGTCAAGAGCAGGTCCATTTTTTGCAGGAAGATCAGCAGAATCTGGACGGGGATGCGGGCAGAGTTAACAAAAGCACTTACTGCCCATGAAGGTCAAACAGCGGCTGACCACCTACCATGTTACTAGCCTTAAGAAGCGTGGGAGGAAGTAGAAAGACGTGTCTGATAAAGTGCAAAGAGCACGCGCTTCCGTATTCGGCTTTTTCTGGAGTGAATGTTGGGGTCTAACCTGGATGGGCTCCTGCTGCTTGAAGACGGGCGTGAGGTCGGGCAGGATGAGGCGCACGTACTCATCCTTGGTGCACTCCTCGGCGATGAGCAGCACGTTGGGCAGCACGAAGGGCACCATGTCCGGGTTGACGAACTCCGAGGTGAGCGCCGGAAGGATGCGGTAGACCACCACTCTCTTATCAGGACAAAGCACAAAACGGGATTTCTCGTTTCGGTTTTGATTCTTAGCATGTCATTAATTGGAGATCACCTTGGGGAGTTTCGGCAGGACTTTGGGGAGGCCCTTGTAGAACTGTGACTTCTGCAGATTATCTCGCTGGAAGAGCGAGTCAAAGTACTGCAGCGTCATGGCGCCCACGTCGTCGAAAAATGGTATCTGTTGTTTTTTTTCCCCCACACGGGTGAAATCAATCAGACGCGTGGAAGACGAGGATGAAGCGAAATCACGTGCCGGCGCCAACCTTGGTCATCTGGTCGGCGTCGGGGCGCACGTTGGGCGTGACGCTGAGCAGCATTTTCACGTGGTCGCGCACCTCCTCTGGGAGCTTGTTGGGATTTCTCGTTTCGGTTTTGATTCTTAGCATGTCATTAATTGGAGATCACCTTGGGGAGTTTCGGCAGGACTTTGGGGAGGCCCTTGTAGAACTGTGACTTCTGCAGATTATCTCGCTGGAAGAGCGAGTCAAAGTACTGCAGCGTCATGGCGCCCACGTCGTCGAAAAATGGTATCTGTTGTTTTTTTTCCCCCCACACGGGAGAAATCAATCAGACGCGTGGAAGTCGAGGATGAAGCGAAATCACGTGCCGGCGCCAACCTTGGTCATCTGGTCGGCGTCGGGGCGCACGTTGGGCGTGACGCTGAGCAGCATTTTCACGTGGTCGCGCACCTCCTCTGGGAGCTTGTTCAAGAGCGCCGGACTTATGCTGGTGAGCTGCAACGAACCAGAAGTGTCCGTTAGGGAAGCCAAGAGCGCGTCGGGGCTGCGTCGTCGGCCCTCGGCGCCCACCTGGTCCAGCTGCCGGCTGAAGCTCTTAAAGATGTCGTGCTTGTTGACGGCGAAGACGGGCTTGCCCTCGTTGAAGACGGCGTGCGCCACCACACCCAGCGAGTACATGTCGGAGGCCGTGTCGCAGCTGACTGACAGGATGTACTCGGGCGCGAGGTACTCGGGGTTGGGCAGGCACAGCGGTGGCCGGTTGGGCTCCCATTCTTTACATACGTATTTGGGCTGCGGGTGAAGCCGACAAAATGGCAGACATGCTGTACTTATATGTGTGCGCATGGAATGGCAAATTCCCACAAAACATCCACAAAACAAATACAGGTCATGTATAACAGTCCACAGACGACATACAAAGCGCTACCAAAAAAACGGAAAGAGGAGGTCTCATTTCACTCACATCGGTGTCTGACGGGTTGCTGGATGAAATGCTGAAATCAAAACCCATAATCTTCCACGATCCACTCTTGTTGAGAATAATGTTCTCCAGACACAAGTTGCCGTGGACCATCTTTACTCCACTGTGCAAGAAGGACAAACCTTCCGAGATCTAAAATGACATAAAAATGGATAAAGGCAAATTCCCACAAAACATCCACAAAACAAACACAGGTCGTGCATGTGTAACAGTCCACAGACGACATACAAAGCACTACCAAAAAACAAAAGAAAAACGGAAAGAGGAGGTCTCATTTGACTCACATCGGTGTCTGATGGGTTGCTGGATGAAATGCTGAAATCAAAACCCATAATCTTCCACGATCCACTCTTGTTGAGAATAATGTTCTCCAGACACAAGTTGCCGTGGACCATCTTTACTCCACTGTGCAAGAAGGACAAACCTTCCGAGATCTAAAATGACATAAAAATGGAGAACTAAACATATGACATTGAATCCGATTGAGTTTGGGGTTCTTTCCTGTTACCTGTAGCAGGCCGTATTTGGTCTCTACGTCATACAGCTTGTACTCCTTGATGTCTTTGGGCACGGGGCTGGGCCGGTTGCTCCAGTGGCCGAGCTCGTTGGGCAGGTCTTTGGGCACGGGGCTGGGCAGGTTGTCCCAGTGGCCAAGCACGTTGGACAGACTGGCGAAGACTGGCTCGGTGCAGAAGGCCAGACAGTCTCTGGGGGGACATCCCAAAACATTGACACATAAGAGTGAGAAACTAGGATCGGGTGGGAAGACTAATGTTTTCTTTTGGGCCATTCTACATATATTTACATTTTGTTAGCTTCATGACACAAATGCCTCCCGGTAAATCATTTTAACCTATTGTTAAAACAGCAATGAAAATTTCCCATGTGCTCTTTGGTCTCTTTGTGTTTCTCCCCACCCCGTGTGGACATACAAAGTGCGGACTAGTTACCGCGACTCCTCCAGAGGGTGCTGAACGGTCAGGAGACGGGGGTGTCGCAGTCGGGTCAGCTGTTGCACCCCTCGCTTCAGGGAGTCCACGATTTGGTCCTTGTCAAACTTCTGGTACTTGTCAATCATCTTCTTATCAAAAACAAACACGGCCACTTCCTGGGAATGACGGAACGCATCCTCATGAGCATTGCTGTCACTACAAAGGGGTGCGATCATATGACACACCTGCTTGGTGGATTTCTTGGTGCCGTTGTAGATCCTCCAGCACATGCTGGGACCGCCGCTGGCGATGTGACGGCCCACCTCGAACTCCCGCGTGACGGGGTTGCCCATGACGGCGCTGGTGACGTCGGCCGTCACTTTGGTGACCGTGCTCTTCAGCTTGTTCAGCATGGATTCCATGTCGAGGCCGGAGCTGCAAGGAAGCCCGGAGTCCGTTCAGATCCCATGTTAGGTAAGGTGTTCACTTTTTTTTTTTTTTAGATTAATCATTATTTAAAGAAATGTCTTTGGGCCACGTCTCGCTAAGTAAGGCTTTCAACCTGCTTGAAAGGGAAGTTGATGCTAGGTTAGGCAACGGGAAGTCTGATAAAAGATCACAGCTGAACAAATGTTGATGTGACTGAGCAGGATTTGGGCTAAACTGAGCTGTGTTGTAATGGAGGCAGACATGAAATGAAAAACTGAGTCCGTACATTATTGTTCTCCTGCAGCCTCTGGGAAATCTAATAAGGAATGGATTTGTACGCATGCCAGAAACCTTTTCAGTGTTCCTACATTAATTATGATCACATTTTCCAGGCTCACTGTCAACAACTGAGGATTTTAATACACAATCCGTTAATTATTTAGTCGCGGTATTCTCAACAGGATCTTGGGAACGATTATTTCCACTTCAATACTCCTTCCTACTGCTTGGAATGCCTGTATGAATATCACTGAACATACAGATCATGAATTTAATACAATCACATCAATAACATTATTGATGACGAGCTCGTCGTGTCACGGACAGCTCGCAGACAGCGATAACGCGATTTACTAAACAACGGCAGCTCGCTAACATTTGAACACTCTGTGACGTTAACGCACAGTAGTTTAAGTATCTCTATTAAAGGTTCGAGGAATGATTCACCGCGGCAGTCGTGATGCGAAGCTAACTAGCCGACAATGGGGAGCAACACCGCAGTCGTAAACGATCAAGAGTCGCAAACTGCCATTTGGTCACATGGCGGTAACTTACACAAATACCGTGCAAAATGTCTCCCGGTGACTCCTTTGAAAAAGCTCACAACCCCGAGGAGCGCTGTCACTGGCGTGAGTGTCTCACAGTCCTCATGATTTCACGTAGCCTACAGTTTGAGCTAGCAAGCTAGGCTAGGACGCCTGACAGTGCCACTTCCGGGTTGACGGACCTAAGCAACGTCACGTTTTCTGGGCGGGTCACTATTTTGCAATCCCAAATACTGTGTCGCTCCATGCGGTCACTTTTTTGCAATCACAAATATAACTAAACATGAATTTACAACGTTGAAACTTGATAACTAATGGTCAGTGAAGAAGGTATCAAAGTTTACTGAGCAACAATTTAATTCATGATAAACATTTATAGATTTAATCTATTCCCTGGTTTATTGAACATTTGTCGACGTCACGTTTTTTTTTCCAAGGTCTTTGGGCTCACCATTTCGCAAGCAGCACAAATGCAATAGTTATTTAAACTACATGGTAACTATTTCTCAATATACTGTATATTTTTTACATTCGTAATTCTTTATTTTACATTATTTTTGGTATTAAATTAATTTAAGCAACAAAAAAACTGAGGAGCCATTTGGGAGCCGGCTCTTTTTAGTGAGCCGAGCCAAAAGAACCGGCTCTCTAAAAAGAGCCGGAATTCCCATCACTACGCCTGACAGTGCCACTTCCGGGTTGACGGACTTAAGCAACGTCACGTTTTCTGGGCGGGTCACTATTTTGCAATCCCAAATACTGTGTCGCTCCATGCGGTCACTTTTTTGCAATCACAAATATAACTAAACATGAATTTACAACGTTGAAACTTGATAACTAATGGTCAGTGAAGAAGGTATCAAAGTTTACTGAGCAACAATTTAATTCATGATAAACATTTATAGATTTAATCTATTCCCTGGTTTATTGAACATTTGTCGACGTCACGTTTTTTTTTCCAAGGTCTTTGGGCTCACCATTTCGCAAGCAGCACAAATGCAATAGTTATTTAAACTACATGGTAACTATTTCTCAAACAGATTTACACATTACAAATACACGAATTGAATACTTTAAAACTAAACGATTAAAGGTTATAGACGGTATATAACCTCAGTTTATTTGAAAAACATTTTATTATCACATCATAAATTACAACTATTGGACAGCATAATCAAGAAAGCAATAACAGACACAAATAACTCATTTGAGTGGATTAAAGTGCATTCTAAAATTATTCCAGTGTACGAAAGTAGTAGGGCTTCAGTATTTCGCTCTGTAAATTATTACATGATGCAAGTGCACACAGCATTAACTCATTAGTTTCCTACCCATCAACTTGATTTAAATAGCTTCTAAAACAGCAGGGATGGGAACACTTTCTTTGGAATTTGACAAACATCCAACAATACTCACTGAAAACTCACTTACAAATTAGCAATTCGCCATCGAGACAAATCCACTTGTGCTCGTGTTCAGATGGTGCTGCACAGATGCTGGAGGAAGACCACGGGGTGATGCTTCTCAAACTGCTTGAGGCGCCTCCTCTTCTTCCTGCTGCTCACGGAAGACGAGGCCACATGGAGGAGGAGGCCCTTGAGGCCCTCGTGCGTGGCGTCGTCGCGCCGCTTCCGGTATTCCTGCGGCGTCACCTGCTCGCAGAAGGCGAATGCTGGAGACAGGGAACAAACCGTCGACGTCAAGGATTGTACCAGGGGAAACCTAATGAAGTGTCCCATGACAGGGAAATCCATCCATCCTTCCATTTTCTGATCCGCTTTATCCTCACAAGGGTCGCGGGGCATGATGGAGCCTATCCTAGCTCTCTTCGGGCAGTAGGCGGGAAACACCCTGAACCGGTTGCCAACCAATCGCAGGGCACACAGAGACGAACAACCATCCGCGCTCACACTCACACCAAGGGACAATTTGGAGTGTTCAATCAGCCTGCCATGCATGTTTTTGGAATGTGGGAGGAAACCGGAGTACCGGGAGAAAAACCCACGCAGGCACGGGGAGAACATGCAAACTCCACACCGGAAGGCCGGGACCCCTGCACTATGAGGTCGACGCGCTAACCACTTGACCACCGGGATGCCCTGACAGGGAAATCTTACGAGTAATGACGCCGACATCTTTGCCCTCCTGCATGTTCCTCAGCGTCTTTTGGACGGCTTCGTTGAGCGACATAGGAGTCTAAAAACATGAACAAAAATTCACTTTTCAACATTACTTTTTTCAATAACATAATTAACAGAAATTACCTTAAAGAGGTCTGAGTGGTGATCCATGAGAAACAGCACCAAGGTCTCGCTCTGTGCTCGCGTTAGTTGGCTATGGTGGACGACAGCCTTGAGAAAAGTGCGGCAGACCAGAGCACGGTTGTCCGCCTGGAAGCAAAACACACTGGTGAGTGATGCGATTGAGCCACTGTGAATGCTTTTGCACGGGAGCTTACTTGTTTTTGGAGGCGGCAGGCGTGAGGGCAGGCTGCCGCCGCCATGAAGGCCAAAAGACGCCGGAGCTCGTCCCGCACGCTTGTCTGCAGCAGGTGCAGGCACAGCTGTGCGGCTCGGATGGCGAGGTGTACCTTACCTTCTTCTACAAGGAAACCAGTTGGAATGTTTTGTTGTGAACGCCCCCGCCGCCCCCAAAAAAAGATCAGGAATGAACATTTGTGAGAATCTATATATAAAATTACAATTTAAGATGTTTTGTGTACCCAGGAGTTTGAGAATAGCGACATGCACGTCCAGATAGCGTCCCGAAAGCAGCGGCGCCTTCTCCCGCCCGTCATAGTGTTTGGCGATGGCGTCAAAGACGAGTCGCTTTGCTCGTTCCGATGGCACGGCGCCATCCGGTTGCCGGAGTTGCTCCCCGGCGGCCACGATCAGCTGGTCGGGGAGGAGCTCCAGACATTCGGCGGTGGCTGAGAGCCACCCGTCCCACCTGTAGACATGTGGTCAGTACATTTAAAGCACATTGACAGAGAAGAAGTGTGAGAGGAACTCACTGAGGGAAGTTGAGGACGTCTGGTAGCTCTCTTTCCAGGCACGTGTTGGGGATCACCAGGTCCTGCAGAGGAGCCCTCTCGGCTCGAGCCTGACTCCTGGCAGGAGACGCCAGGATGCTGTCCAGCACGGGCAGCTCCACCGTCTGCAGCAGCTGAAGCAATGCTTGATGTTTCCACACTTCCTCCACCACTGTGAGGGCACGGGGGAGCCAGTCAGTTCACTTGACAAAAAACAAACCGATCCTCGGTAACTGACCTGTGTGAGGCAGAAAGGAGGACGTGGCTGGAGGTGGGGACGGCTGCAGGTTGATGGAGCTCAGAAGCCTCGCCACCTTCCTGTCAGGTTGTCCCACAGTGAGAGGATTGGAGATTGTATCCACGTCGTTCAACCTGGATTTAAAAATGTATTTGAACCAATGAAATCATATTACATAGATCACATTTGCTATTTTTGTGCAATTTCTATAACATCCTCTGATGCAATTTTAATGCTGTGGGAAAGTCAACATTTCCTCGATGAAGGTCCACCTGTGCTTCTTCATCTCCACTTCATCCTCAGTATCTCTGTCGTGATCCTGCCCCTTGCGCTCCACGAAGCGGTACAGGCTTCCGCCGCCATCCTCAAATGTCGCCTCCTTGTCCCGGCCAAAGAGCTTGGCGCCCACTGGCTCAAACACCCCGGCCTCCATCAGGGCCTGGCACAGCCGGGTTGCTGTCAGGCGGGACACCTCGCCACCCCCGGCGCCAACTGTGGCGTTCTGCATCAGGTAGCTCAGCACAGCGTCCACCGCATCACAGCCTACAAAGCTGTTGGTGTGGATGTGCAGGTGCCTCCGGTGGTGGCGCACCTCTACCTGAGTGCGCAGGGCATGGATGATGTTATGCCACAGCTGTGTGGCACTAAAAGGACCTGCTAAGATAGAGAGAGATAAAAAATGCAAATTGAGATGTACAGGTGTAAATAACATGGATAATAAAATATGTGTATAGTACGTATTTCAACAGTACGTACATCAATAGTGATCCTCCAAAATGTACAGTACAACATTACAGTATTATACAAGGGTCAGGAACTACAATAAGAACCACTTAAAAAAATCATCTGACATTGCAAAAACACCACCTCATAGGGTCAACTATTAATCTTTGAAGCTGAATGTTCATGATCTGAAATATAATAAAAATGTATATTGCGGGTATCCATTGAACAACAAACAAATTTTGATTACTTGTCTTGATTGACAAGAACGCATCTCAGTTACGGTAAATATCATGTAAGCCTACATTTTAAAAGAATCAACTCTATCATAAAACCTTACCTCGATGGTGCAAATTGTCTCGAAAACTTCGCGTTTCGCTATTAAGTCGTCGAAATCGCGGTGTCAAATCAACCGCCATTCTTGTCAAATATGTGTCGTCATTGCTTTTTTTTTCTTCTTCGTCATCTTGCTCAAGGTCGAATGTCGTCGACAATGTGCAAACACACTGCTGCCACCTGCGGGCACTAATGTGGCATTGTTCCCTTCAGGCAATACGTTGTCGCCGTCTTGTGGTCAACATCAGAAATGCTGTCGGTGACACCTTCCCGGGAACCCAAAACAAATGAGCCATTTTCCCTTTGTGTCTCATTGCTCTATTCTATTTTCATTTCAGAAATACAAATGGAAAATTAAACAGTAATACAACCTTTCCTTACCTCTTACGTTCCAGACAACAAACGAGAAAAGCAAGCTTTATTTCCATTTTAAAACAAAAATGAAATGAGTAGTTTCTTTTACATTTTTAGTATCTGTTTCCTAATGTAATATCCAATTACCAAAAGAGACACGGATGTATCACATTTGTGCACAATAAAAACAGTCCACAAAACCAATTAAAAAAAGTTGTATATACACAAACTTTCCACACTCCTTAGTCACCCGTAGTTGGAGTGTCTGTTTTCCTTTTGACAGCTGATCTTTTGAGCCTTTTGCATGACTGACTGTGTCTGTGGTTAAGTCCCGTGGTGACCTCGCCAGAGTGTCCAGCAGCGAGGCCCTGTCTTCCACCCAAGCTTACCTTGCATCTGGCTCCGGACCGCCCTGATGTCAAGCTGGCGTTTGGGTCGCGGGCAAACATTTGCAGGGCTGTGGCGATCTTTGATGGATTGTTGTGAATTTTTTGAAAGGCTTTTACCGCGGCCGCGGCTGAGGCTGCAAGGGACTTCTCGTTCTTGACCATAGCTGACAGCTTCTGGCACATGGCTTCGAATTCTAATGCTGCCGCTTGATGCAAGGCTGAAAATCAATAACTAATAAACTTAGTGAAAATAATGGCCCAAGAAAAAAAAAACAAAACAAAAATTCTGTCTCCATTAGGTTGAAGGTTTCTTTTTTCCAGGCAATGGTCTTTTTTTTTTTTAAGGAAAAAACTCTTATCTAGCTGAGTTTTGGCTGTCACTTCAACCTTTGTCAGAGCTGTCACTGCTTCCTTGTGATATGTCTTTAAAAACAAAACAAAAAAAAAACTTCAACCTAATTCAACCAATAAGACAAGATGAACGCAATAGCTCCATTCAGTCTCCACTTTGAACATGTGTTTGAACTACTTGCCTTCCTCTGAAGCATCCTCTTGCACATCGACAAGTACCACCTCCATTTCTGGTTCTTCCGGCCAGCTGTCATCAATTGGCAAGACAAATTAACAATGAACACACTTTGATCAAGCACTCATTGAGAAGAATGTCACATTACATGTAGCAGTGATCAAGAGTTGGGCAGAATGCTCCGTTAGCTGTGGTGGCGATGACATAACCGCCCCCACGATCCTCCTCAAAATCGAACTGCGCCACAGCCGAGGCTGGAGGCGGTGCTTCCAAAAGTGACTCGGGCACGTCAATGTTGTGGTTGTGGTCATTGCAAATGCTCACCATTGTAGGAAAGATGGGCAGGTGAGAATCTGCGCTTCTGAGGAGACAAAAATGTTTGCTCGAAAACGTGTACACCAATTATGTCACCAGAGTGACAGCAAACCTACGTACAGACTCTGCCTGCCTCTGCTCACTTGAGTGCGAAGCAGCGTCACGCTCATTTTAGCTGGACAGTCTGTGTTTTTGCTCTGGCCAGGCACTTTCACGGGCCCGCGGGGTCTTGTTTTATGCTGGCACCTGTAGTCCACCTTCAAAGGACAATGCAAATACATATATTTACATACATACAAAATTGTGATGAATTGTTAATGTTCCATAATCACCCAGCCTTACCCGGAAGTTGCATAAAGCACAAATTACCTTAAAAATAACTTTCTGTCCCTTAGTGGCATATGTTCGGTCCACCCTCCAGCCGACTCTGTGCGATTTCAGCCACAGCTGAATTTCATCTTTGGATGACAAGACCATCCGAAAACTTGCCTTAAAGTCAACGTGATCATCCGTCTCTCTGATGAGGTCGAAATCGCAGACGTGATAATCGTAGTTTACTGGCAAATAGTCCTACAAAAGAAACATGAGAAGCATGAATGCTTTTGGAAATCTAGTCATTAAAAACAAGTAGGCGAGTCGTACCTTTAATGCAGGAAACTCCGAAATATTCTTGCTGAGGCTGGTGCAAGTGAATCTCTTCTTCTCGCAAGAACTTGAGGTCATATTAAAAACAAAAAAACATTTTGCGTTACTACTTACATTGGTGATAGACTCCCCATGCACAAACATCGTGTACTGTAATATTGTGTATATTTTGCTCTCATCAGCTCCTCCCCTCGGGATGAGTAGTTACGCCACCAAAAAAAAAAGTTTTCATAAGTCACCGCACTGAATGCATTGCAACAAATTTAGCTCCCGTGAGTTAAACATTCACTTTGCATTTTTTTTGGGAGGTAGCAAGCAAATGAAAACATCCATTTCCAACGATGCCGGCTTTTCCTCTATCTCCCATGCTAAGTGTCATGTGGGTTGAACGGAGCGATAAAATAACTGACCTTACCCTTTAAACGTAATTCCACTCAATCTATTCACGCCTGGTTTACGAGCTGGAGAAACGGGGAGCGTGTTTGCAGGCAGCTGCATGTCTTCAGGCTCGCTGCGGAGGCTCCTCCAGAAAGCGGCAGTGGAAACCGGAAGTAAACCCACTGTGGTTCTAGGCAGAAAACGCCCCGCTGAAATGTGATTGGCTGCTGCATTCATTCAGGGCACGCCCTACTGTATACAAACAGGAAGTGCAACGTCGAACATTTACACGCAACAAAGGCTGTTTGAAAAAAGGTTTATAATGGTGTGGTATTCTGTGCTTTTTGCAGCTTTGCTTCTCACAGTATCGTGGGGATTGTCATTTTTTTCCAAATTTATTACACTTATCGTATTTAAATGAAAAATGGCAGGAAAAGGGCGTTAAAGAATTCCAACTCATTGGATTGACCTCATTGGTATCGTGGGGGTGAAAAAATGTATGCATTTCAATGCAATTCAAAAGGCCGAAACAAACAATCTGTCAAATCGCAATGCCTTTATTCCGTTGTTGCGTCAGTGGTACAATGCTTTGAAAACATGCAACCACTTGGAAGCGTGCATGACATTGGGAATGTTCTTCACAGAGACTAACATATGACAATGTGTGGTGTGTTGCGTCGCTTAAACACAAAGTTTCTGGTTAAACAAGAACATAAAAAGAAACATTGACAAAAGGTATGAAACAAACAAAAAAAAAAATGCATTGAAACACATTCATACAATAGAAAATGTTTTGGTCGAGCCTCTCCTGCTCTTTTCCGAGGCCGTGGAATGTGATTGTCTGACGTTGGAGCAGGAACAGAAATCAATGGAAGCTGATTTAAGACGGAGAAATTCTCATTCAAAATCTTCTGAACATAAACTCTTCCGTCCTGCGAGGCGTCCGTGTACGCTGCCTCAGCGGTCGTTAAAAGCTTCTCATTGTAATCATAAGGCCTGATAAAAAACATTGACAAAAGGTATAAAACAAACAAAAAAAAAATGCATTGAAACACATTCATACAATAGAAAATGTTTTGGTCGAGCCTCTCCTGCTCTTTTCCGAGGCCGTGGAATGTGATTGTCTGACGTTGGAGCAGGAACAGAAATCAATGGAAGCTGATTTAAGACTGAGAAATCCTCATTCAAAATCTTCTGAACATAAACACTTCCTTCCTGCGAGGCGTCCGTGTACGCTGCCTCAGCGGTCGTTAAAAGCTTCTCATTGTAATCATAAGGCCTGATAAAGTACATAGTGGCTCGTCCTTGGACTGGCGGGAGGCACCCTGATTTCTACTCGAGCGTGCATAAAAGCAATAACATTGTTTTTAAGTCATTAAAGGTAAAATGGCTGCTTTGCCGTTTTTTTCCCCCCCTACATTTATATATATTTATATAAAAGTTTGAAGGCATCACGTGCACCTGCTTTAAAGAGGAATGTCTGAAGCTACAAATAAAACAAACATAAATAAGAGGATAATAAAAAGTCATAATGGCCTTTTTGTATAGTCAACACTGCCTGTTGGTGGAATGTTCATGAATACAAATAAAAAAAAAAGCAAAATGGTTTTTGTTGTGAGTACAAGAATGTTAAGATACGATACTGTATGATGACCATATGATGAGTTAACATACATTACCCAGACCGTTGCTGTGCTATTGTAAGACATAGTAAATGTGACTCGAGCTAAATTCTACAAGTGCTGATATTTCTGTCCCAAAGTGGTTGGAATGAAAAAAAAAAATAAGTGAAGCTTCTTTGCTTGAAATATAAATTAAAGAGAGATGGAATGGAACTTTACGAGTTGAAGCGATGTCACCCTGGGAAAGCTTGGCATGAATCTACTCTTTCAACTTCACTGCAATTACTTTTTGAAGATTTCATGGTCATAATATCCAATTTTCACAGCATTTTGGTTTCTTTTAGAAAGCAAATATAAAACGTGCAAAGGCACCTAAAGTGGCCACCGTACAAGAAAAACAAACTAACAAAAAAACAAAACAAAAACAAAAACAAAAACCGTGATGTTTGTGTACAATGCTGAGACGTCTTTTTTTTGTTTTTCTTTCTGGGTCCCTCTTTGGGATGGTGGCCATTTTTTTTTCTCCTTTTGGTCGTCAAGCCAAAGTCTTGGATTGTCGTGGCTCCTTCTGGACATTAGTGGCCCATACCTGAGTGGGGTTGAGAACAAAGACCTCAGTGGTTATTGAAAGATAGTACACACGGTAAACAACACGTTAACTGGACTCACTCACCATTGGTGACTGATTTGGTCTCGCCTCTTCCCGACGCCTGACACACAAAAACAGAAGCAATTATCGTACTTGTTCATCCGGCCAACAGCGTCCCCTTCAACTACTGTCACAGAAGGCAACCAGGAAGCATGGAAGGAAACGTGACCCAAAAGTGTGGACACGGGTGGGAAAGACGTCCATTTGCAACAGTCCAAACGCAGCGTGTGTGTGCGCGTGGTGGGTGTGGACAGTCTATCCATGTCAGCTGACATTGTTTGCATATGCGAGGTGATGATGGTGAACCCAAAGTGCCCAAGTGCAAATTGAGCCACATTGGAAGCAGATGCTGTAAGGAATGGCTCCATTAAGGCAATAATAAAAAGGTAAAAAAAGCAGAGTGCAAGCGGAGCAGATTTGTGACTCCTGGGAGCGAAAAGGCCAATTGTGTGAAACGGCCATCGGCGAAAAGCTCGCAGTTGGACAAACTCTAAAATTAAACTGCAATTTCCCATTTGAATTTTTACGAGGCAGGATTTACACTAGGATGGCATCTTGTTGGTTTTGTGGAGCATCCGTTGAGTTACGCCATACTTTAAAAACAACCCCTGCGTGTAAACTCATAGCCTTTACTTATGAAGGTCATTCGCCCTAAAGTCATACAACGCTAACAGATTAGCTATTGCAATCATGCTACGTTGCAATCGACATATTCAACTGTCATTTTTCCCAACCCATAATAAAAGAATCTCATTTCTACAGAACAAACGCTGTCCAACTGGTGAAGAGAGGGGAAAAAAAGAGCCAATGGGTGACAGTGTGGCGGCAAGTGCAAGATTTTAATTTATTTATTTTACCTCGGGAGGCTTTTTCCATATTGTAGTGAGTACATCAACTAGCTATGAAGAGTTCTTTTAGGAGAAACACAAACATATTGACAGTACGTATGTGTCTACAAAAAACAGCAACAATTTAATCGCGTCGGTTCACTGGGTGCCGCTGCAGTCGGGACACGACAGCCGCAAGTTAAACGTACCTTGGCCGGAGAGGAGCCTTTGTTTTCCCATAAACTCCTCTTGTTGGTCACGTCCACAGGTTTCAGGTCCTGGGAAAAAAAAAAGAAAAAAAAAAAGCACATGTCAAAGCTGCGTCGACTGCTTAACACTCGTTGCACTCGTGTGGCCACAACCCATTGGAAAAAATGTGTGCTTCCTCTAACGTGTGCTTCTGGGAGGGCTGAAGTTGATATAAAAAGTTTTTATATGGTCGATATGGCGCGTATTGTGCGGGTCTGGAACGTGTCCTCCCCTCCCAGTGTTAAACGCTGGCTCACTGGATTTCCAATAACTGCCACTGTGAAAATCTGCTGTGCTTATTTTCACAGCAGCCAGCAGATGGCAGCATAAAACACTCCATTTTTACTGGCAATTCATTTGCCCTTCTCCTGCAGTTCAATCGTCATATTTAGGCCAGTCGGCATGAGCTCATATTGGATCTTCATAATAACTTACAATCGTGTACGCTTTTATGAAAGGACAAGCTGATTTCTATTTATTTTTAGCCCCAAAATAATAACATGACCGCTTTTACGGCACCTCCAGGCTGACATACTGAGCTGCTGTGTTATGAAGAAAAAAAAAATGCCATCAGGCTGCCAATTTAGAGTTTCGGGCAGGCGCTGCCATGGCAACGACCTACCGATGGCCTTCCTCCTGACGCCTTGCCGCTCTCAGGGGTTTTATTCAGCCATTCGTTGATGCGGCCCGCCACGCCCGTCTTTATTACAGCTGCTTCCTGTTTGGGCAGAGGGCAAAAGGTGAGCATGCGGCGCTGAAAAGGCGGCCCGGCCCCCCCTCTCCAGCCGACGGTGCACCCGCGTTACCTTAAAGGCGCTGCCGCTGCTTCCTGGCGAGCTGAACACGTTGCCTTTCTCCCACATGCTCTTGATGTTGCGTATGCTGTCCGTCACCGCCGGGAGATCCACGGCGCCCGAGCGAGGGGATCGCGACTCCTTGTTCTCTCGCTGCGAAAGCGACAAAGTCAGCGGGGATTATTTTGGGGGCCTGCCGGGAGCCGCGACACATTCCCGCCTTCAAATCAACTGCAAAATCTGCTGAGCGGGAGCGAAAAGGAATGGCAATGAGGGAGTCGCAGGCTGGGATGGAGGACAGGTGGGAGATGTCTGGGGCGGGGAATGTGGCCACGTCAACACTCGGATGGGATTCAATTCTGGAACCAGCGTGAAACGAAGCAGCGGCATCATCAAATGCCGTGTATTAGGGATGAACGCATTGGAAAATTGAATTGCGATTAAAAAAAAACTTTGCGTTACGGAATGGCATGAGCAAGTATGGGCTGACCTGAGCGGCCGAGGTGTACTGCTCCAGTCGGTTGTCGATCTTGGACACCACAGGGCAAGGGGACATCTTTACTGCGCTGTTTGCAGTGGCGGACAGCGGGACAACAATGACTTGACTTTAAAATTGTCTGCCTTGCCAGCGGAGATTTACATTCCTCTCTGGCCAAATAGGAGCGCAAATAAAAGCTCGTGTCTTGATTCGTTTTACCTTCTCTGGGCCGACTTGTTGAGAAACTCGGCGCGCTCTCCAATCTGAAAGGCAAAACGTGACTAATGAACAATTCCGGTGACGGTTTGCACAATCACAGCACACCGCGCCACCCAAAATTCCAATTCCAGAACATTTTATGGGGAAGGCGTCAACAATCGGTCACACGTTGTTTGCCCACCGCAAAGAGAAATAGCATTACGTATCTAACTCATGAACTTGAAACACACATGGTCCTTTCTAAGTGCGGTCTGCTGACCTGCAGGGCTTTCAATGGGCGTTGAACGAATTGTGGGAGTTCCCAAAATACTCCCTGACAGGAAATTCCCCATCCCCCCGACCCATTTTGAACAGCTGCGGCCATGTGAATGCCGTTTACAGTAATCCTGTTAACCCTAATCGCTTTCCTGCATCCTCGCAGCCAGGCGGCTCCTCGTGTGGCCGCAGCGCGCGGCTGCGCGTTATCGCCGCACACGCAGCCCGTCAAGCAGGGAGGCTCCGTCGCGTAAAGGCTGATAATGTGGACAAAACCTCCTGGGACTATGTTTACTCCACTCGGAGGTGACGGCAGATAACCATACATATTCGTTTTGGTTTGAAATAGCGGACACACAGAAGCGATGTGAGAAATTGGAATTGAAAAAAAAAACTCCATCAATTTGCCTCGTTCCGATGGAAACACCCAATCACATAGTTGTGATGTCGGTAATGTGTAACTATCCTAAAAAAAACATACCACCAAATCGTGTCATTTTTCTCTCATGTAGTCGGCTAGCTTACTGCTAATATTTAATGTGAAACACCAGAGACAGGCTAACAGAAATTTGCATTGGACTTAAAACTCACTCCAAAACTCAACCTCTCCCAACACACGAGATAAAACTAAAAACTGGATCCATTTCTCACGCAATAGGGCAGATGCTAGTCTCACAAACTATCTTATTATTGATGCCAAGATGATTCTTAAGGTGTCGTGTCATATTTTTACACACTACAGAAACCATTCCAAACATTGACACAGGCGGGAAACCAACTGACCTTGAGGGAGGAGCCGCGAGGGCTGACACACTTGAAGGGTTTTTCTTCGCCCTCCACCGGTTCCTCCACTTTTTGCCTCTTCTCGGCCGCCTCCGCCCTCCTCCTCTCAATCTCCTCCTTCATCTTTCTCTTCTCTTCCTAAAGAACACACACAAGGAAACATCTTACGTACAGTGCAGTGTTTGTCGTGTGGTGTTCCACAGGGTTCACTTTTGGGGCCCCTGCTATTATTGACTGTCTTTGTTTTTTTGTGTACATTATCATGAAGATAGTGTGGGCCTTTCTTTAGCAGGTTGAAGTCTTTTTTTTTTGTTGAATTGTTCAATATTTGCTCAACTGCTGTTTATTGTAAAAAGTGTGTCGAGTTGACTTCACGGCCACCATTCAGTGAGAAGACATGATGATGAACTGACACTTTAAATGTGTTCATAGCATATGAAAGCTGGTTCTGCAATGTCGCGATAAACGCGGGTTCACTGTATAGCGACAGCGTGCCGCGATTAACGTGCAGACTATGAACTGCCCTTTCAAGCTATTAGCGTATGGACCATTTGTACTCGTGCTCAGGAAGGCCGGCGCTTGGTGGCGAGTCGCCCGTCTCCAAGCGGCCTTGTCTTGCTTAATTAGTCTCCCTCTATCCCCGGGCCCTCTTTTAATTACAAATCAAAAGGCCTCATTAACATGACACAAGACGAAGAGGATAAGGGGTTTGGCGGGAGGGAGAAAAGAGCCACCACGTATGCGGCCAAGACCGACAAAGGCGGGCGGTCAGGCTAACGAGGAGAATGCGGAGCTGTGTGAGTGGGAGGCTGATGGTGGAAATGAACAGCACTGCACAAAGAAATGTTAATTAATGGCAAACATCAAACATATCTGGAAATATAATGAAGTGCAGACAATGTCGGGAAAACAAAAACATTTCTCCGAATCGGGCCGGTGCTCTCCCATCGCTACGGTAACCAACGTGAGCAAAAGGTGAGTGTCAAGACAAAGCCAAGTGGATCGAAGATGTGCTACCTCCTCTCTGGTTTTCCTCTCAGCCTCCTCTTGCTTCCTCTGCCTCTCCTCTTCCTCCAGCACCCTCCTCCTCTCCTCCCTCTTCCTCTTCAGCTCCTCCAGCTGGGCCTCGGACTCCTGCTGCTTCTGCCGCATGCGCTCAAACTCCTCGCTCTCGGCGTCTTCACGGCGGCGCTTCAGCTCCTCCAGCTTGCGCTCGGCCTCCAGGCGGACGACCTCGTTGTCGTCGTCGTCATCCGGCCCCTGGTCGGCAAACTCCTCGGGGGAACGCGCGCTGCCTCGGCTGCCGTGCAAACGCAAACACAACGTAAATATTTCAACTCGCGCCGAAAGGGATTTTGGCACTCGGACAGCACACGCGCACAGAACGAGGCCGGCAAACACCTTTCAAGACAGCATTACCGCTCATCCCAAAAGCATATTTTCTCGACCACTTCGTTGCTTAAAATCTGATTTCGATATGCCTTTCAATTATTTCTGTTGATGCCTGAGGCAACACCGGCATGCTTGGAATAACGGCTTGAAAAGCAAATGGCTGAAAGTTTCGATTCAAGAGCTTTTGTGACATGCACATTTTTTTTTTTTAAGTTTGGAAAGCAACGTGGTTATGAGCCATCAGGTGGTCTGACCTTTAGGAAGAATATTACAGCAGCCCGTTTCCACATCTGATATGAGGTGCATTAATCATGGCCGCTATCTGCTTTTCACCATCGCAATTTCTCACCGTATTAAATATCATTGTGACATGTTGTGCATATTTAATCGGCAGGTTTCCGGGGGCAGTGACACACTGATGTGAAACGCACGCACGCACACAAAAACTAAACAAACGTCAATTTACACCCATAGGACTGCTGGGTTTAATGTTGGACTTAAGTTTAGGTATTTCATGTGAATTAATAAAAAAAAAAAAAAATAAAAAAAAATGGGATGAGGACGAAACTGGCTGGCCAAGACGTGCCTACCTGGGCGTCCTCTCAGGTTTCCAGTACTGTTTTGGAGTGGCCTCCTCTTCCTCCTCCTCCACCACCACTGCCTCCCCCTGCTGCTCCTCCTCCTCCTCCTCATCATCATGAAGGCCTCCGTTCTGCTTCCTCTGCTCCTCCCTGCTCGGGCCTCTCTCGCAAAACTACAACGACACACACACAAACAAGCACACAGTAGGTTAGCTGCGGATATCGGGGGGACGGTAAACGGGTAATAAAGTCTCAACTGTATTTATAGAGCACTTTAAAACAGCCGTCGCTGTATACAAAGTTCCTCGCAAAACATCATGAAACGGCCAATTATTGAAGTCGTATCCGTGCAAAAGACACAGACGACTCACCTCTTCTCTGGAGTAAGACCTCCTCGGCTCCGCCTCCATCACTTTCTCCACCTCAGGCGCCGCCTCCTCTTCTTCTTCTTCTTCTCCGGCCGCCTCAGGCTCCTTCTCCTCTCTCCACGAGCTGTACGTCTTCTCCCGACGCCAGGAGGAGGACCTCTGCTCCTCCTCCTCGTCCTCCTGCGTCATTTTGCTCCTCTCGCCGCTGTCGCCGTCGTGGCCCTCCGTCTCGTCCGGCTGACTCTGCTGCTCCAGCGCCTCCTTCAGGCGACGCTGCCTGCGCTCCTCGCGCCGGGCCATGCGGTCCAGCAGCGCTTGGTCCTCGTCCTCGCCGCCTCCGAAAGAGCTGCTCACCGAGATGCTTTCTTGCATGCTATCAGGAGACAAAACACGGTACAAACATTTGAGGCAAAATGACAAAAGCGTATAGGGCTGTCATGCGATAGGCTTGGTCAGTAGCCTTTTTTACATGTATGTTATTCATCGATAGAGTGTCTATAGTGAGAATTAAAAAAAAAAAAACACAATTAATGGATCAGACAGAATATATGTTGCTGTGTTGCTCTTATTTGTAATTATAATTACTGGAGCATCTGTGCTAATTTCCATTAGCCCTTCTATGGTATTTCACATTGTATGCAGCATTAAGCTAACAGAACTTCGTTACACAAAATGATATTGTTTGATGGAATATTTTCATGTTTTTTTTTTTTAAATACATGTTTAATTCTTTGGTTGTGGACAAGATGGCTTCTTATATTTGGTTCTTCAACTATTCCTTTCTGTTTACCAGCTGCCCTGATGCCCCGTGGCACCATGCTGCTCCCCGGTGGTTAGTTTTGTGACTACACCACGGCGCTCAGGGAGATGAGACTCCCGATCGTCGTGCAAGATGTCTTTACGTGCATGGAGTGCCTCGTTGAGTGCACCACACGCACCCTAAGAGCAATAAGCACACACTTGCCTTGTCATGTGTCGGCTCTCGGTTGAGATGTGAAAAATTGCCATGCGCGCACATCAAATAGCAGCTTTTAAAAGAAATGGCGATCTTAAAAAAACAAAAAACAAAAAAAAAACACCCATACTTGTCCACGGGTTGATATGACGACAAGTGCTGTTAAAGAAATCAAGGTCCGGTGAGCCAGGAGGAGACATTTCTGTGGTGCGGACCTGCCTGCTCCAGCCAAACGCTGACAATTTGGCTCCATTGACGGATCCTCGCCACAGAAATGCTTGAAAATAAAACGGCGGGTCAGGCCGAAAATAAATCTGAGTTGAAAGGTTGGATTTAAGAAGGGAAAGGATGAATAGCTCTTTGCTCTAAGATAGCCGTAGACACGCCCAATAGCGAGCAACCGTATCTTTTGAGAAAAAGACCGCAACAGCTGGTCAGGGCGAGGCTCTCGCTCCCTCGCATCCCGCTCTTGTCGTCCGTTCTGCTGCATGAACCACTGAAGTGACCTTCCCGGTGGCAACTTTGAATAAAACACGACTCATCATCAACTGTCATGAGGTTAAATTTGGGATTTTTTTTGTCATAGTTTTTGTTTCATTTTGACTTTTGTTTCTTACATTTTGGGAGTTTTGATTTTGTCGAAAATGCCTCATCGTAGTTTCATTTTTATTAGTTTTAGAATTAGTTTTTAACCAGATGCTACCTGGTCTTGACTGCTAACTGTTTCAGTCTTTATTGATTTTTTTTTTTTTTTTGTAGTAGTAGTACTGCAATACTTGGGTCACCTGTGGCAGTTGGTCACGACCAGACTGTCGGGCTGCGGGGTGGAGTCTTCCATCTCCCTGGCCCTCAGCCTCTCCTGGCGGGCCCGGCGCCTCCGCTCGCGGGCCGCCTCCTCCTCGTCATCGTCGTTCCTTGACAACCTGGCAGAGGAAGAGAAGAATCAGCCAACCTGCAAGGGACTGCGTTCAAAACACAAAACATTAGATGTTACTTAACAGGGCTGAACAAGTGTGAAAAACTTTTTTTTTTAATTTTTGGTAGACTGATTAAGAGTAAGGATGTTCACAGGTTCTACTTGACGGAAGGTACCACCCACCCTCAACATCCTAAAACACATTCAACAGCCGAGTGCTGTTTTTCCGGCCACCTGACACATCCTCTAAGTTGGCTCGGCGCTTGATCTCGGCCCGCCTGACCTTTCCCCTCCCTCCGCCGAGCACACGGCTACCTCACATCACACGAGCGCCTTTGAGGCCGGGCAGCCGAGCGTGCCGTTTACATGTTGATTGCAACATGTGTGGTGAGCCGCACCAAAGCCGCTTTGGGTTGATGTGAGGTTTTGCAGCTCGTCAACAACAGCTTGCCCTGCTCCTGCTCCCCCCCATCTCTTTCCCCTCATCGAGAGGAATGTTGTCAAAACAGAGCGGATGAGTCAGTTAACACCCAAGCGGGACCTGTGGGATTGTGACATCAGCCGGGCAATGATTGACCTACAAGGAAATCGTTTTGGCTCATATCGCCATGACTGTTCCGCTGCTATGTTGTGGTTCATTGCATGCAAGACGTTTTTTTTTTCCTCCTCCCCCAAGTCTTCAAACAAGTCACAATTTGGAGTTGTGTGCCTTCAGTTGCATCATACGTCATGCCACATGTTGGTCAGCAGTGAGTGCAATGTCATGAATCGTAAAAAGAGGCCAAGAGCGTCCCCAACTAACCTCAGATGTTTTTTTTTTTTTTTAACACGTGTTGCTGCCCGTGTCTAAAAATGCTGTTTTCCTAAACTCTCGAGTCAAAACTACAGCCCGACGCACTGGCTATAAATAACCCAGTGGGCAAGTGAGCGTACTTTTTACCTGGCAGTTTTAAGAGTGAGTTGCTTCAAGGTTTGTAATTATTCAAACGTCACTGCTAGCTTGAGTTAGCTCGTCTATGGAGTTTCGCACTGTACGTTAGCATCACGCAAGCAAGTGATTTGGTGGAACAGTTAAAATATTTGACCCTCTTTTATGTGTCCGTTTACCAGTAAACTTTAACTGGGAGTGACAGAAACAGCGAGAAGCAAGCATGCTTGGCATCTAATTTGGACAAGATGTGTGCGAGTGAGAGAACAAAAGGCACCAAGGGATACTTTAAGGGTGCTTTAGTAAGTTTGAGGCGTAAAACCTTGAAAAGAAAAGAAAAAAAAAAGCAACCCTTCCAACTGTGCTTTGTGTACTGGGGCACAAGCACTCTTAAAGCCACTTCAACTTCTCAAAGTACAAACAACATAATTAAAATGCCACTTGTACATGTTGTCCACACACACACACACACACGCACCCACGCACGAATCGTGGCGACATGACTGCCTAAACTCCCGCAGGACTCTGCTGTCCCAGAAAACGGCAGCAAATGTCATGAGAACGAGAAGGAGGCAACGGCTAAAAATGGAATAAAAGAGTCCTTGGCGGCAGGCGGCGACAATCCCAGGGTTCAAGATTCCTCGGCAGGAGAGGAGAACAAACTTCTAAAAGCTGAATTAGCATTCCTGTCAATCACGGCGTGCGCGCGCGCACACACAAAAGCAAAGGCCCGCTTTAATATCCCCCCTTTTTCCTTACTTAGGCCCCAAACTCCACCAGCATTCTGCCACAGAGCCTCTTGGAAGGGGGAGGACACTGCTAGCTTGAGTTAGCTCGTCTATGGAGTTTCGCACTGTACGTTAGCATCACGCAAGCAAGTGATTTGGTGGAACAGTTAAAATATTTGACCCTCTTTTATGTGTCCGTTTACCAGTAAACTTTAACTGGGAGTGACAGAAACAGCGAGAAGCAAGCATGCTTGGCATCTAATTTGGACAAGATGTGTGCGAGTGAGAGAACAAAAGGCACCAAGGGATACTTTAAGGGTGCTTTAGTAAGTTTGAGGCGTAAAACCTTGAAAAGAAAAGAAAAAAAAAAGCAACCCTTCCAACTGTGCTTTGTGTACTGGGGCACAAGCACTCTTAAAGCCACTTCAACTTCTCAAAGTACAAACAACATAATTAAAATGCCACTTGTACATGTTGTCCACACACACACACACACACGCACCCACGCACGAATCGTGGCGACATGACTGCCTAAACTCCCGCAGGACTCTGCTGTCCCAGAAAACGGCAGCAAATGTCATGAGAACGAGAAGGAGGCAACGGCTAAAAATGGAATAAAAGAGTCCTTGGCGGCAGGCGGCGACAATCCCAGGGTTCAAGATTCCTCGGCAGGAGAGGAGAACAAACTTCTAAAAGCTGAATTAGCATTCCTGTCAATCACGGCGTGTGCGCGCGTACACACAAAAGCAAAGCCCCGCTTTAATATCCCCCCTTTTTCCTTACTTAGGCCCCAAACTCCACCAGCATTCTGCCACAGAGCCTCTTGGAAGGGGGAGGAAGGAAAAAAAGAGGGAGAAGAGAAGGGGGGAGGGGGGGGGGGGAGAAATGAAAAATGAGGAAGGTGAGAGGTGAGCATGATAATGACGGAAAAGGTAATAATCGGCCGAGTTGATCACAGGCGACGCCCTTTCCTGCCTAGCGTCGCGCGTGGAAGCCCTACACTGTTCAGGACACGTCCGCGACAGGCCAAATACATATCTGTGCCCAAAATAAATAAAAGGAATTTGCTCCTCATATTGTGTCTTTTCCTCTCCTTTGAGCCATCGAAAGTTACCCACGGCCGCCGTCGAGCATGAGAGCGCCTCTAAGGCACAAAGTATGTCTAAATATTTTCCTTGCGGCATAGCATCGGAGTTATGCGAGCAAAACCCATTTGGGGGTGTGGGGGGGGGTGGTATGGGGGAGCCCGGGAAAAGACTTTTTTCACCCCTACTTGGTAAGAGAGGGAAAAAGTGAAAACGTAAGCGGCTGCGGAGCAGAAGGGAGGGCCGACGAGGGGAAGGGAGGCGGGCATTGGGCTGTCAGAAATGCTGACCCATTCCCACGCTGGACTATTTCCTATCCTCGTGCCGGCCCAAAGAACCGCAACCACGCTGCCGACTGGCTCACCCTCCCTGCCCTCGGATAGAAATCCCCTAAATGCTCTTGGTGAACTCATTATCTCCATCGGGGAGGTTTCGTTTCATCACTGCTTGTTTGCGCACTCAGCAGAAGGACAATGGCCATGAATTCCAATCGCGAGAGGTGGACCGCCGTGAAGGTGTTGGTCATTTTCACTTCCTGTCAGAACCAAAGCAGACCATATTTGGAAGCGCTCCCATTCGGTCAGGGTCATTCGCGGAGGATGGGCGTGATTCCTCCGCCCTTCCTGAATGGCACAGGTGGAAGGGCGGCAGTGAAAGAGGAAGAGGATGAGAAGTGGTGAGAGAAAGAAAAGGAAGGGCTGGAGATGAAAATGGAAGCATGAGATCACAAGCTAAAGGGGGGCGTCGAGCTGATGCGCAAAGGGGAGGGGCCAAAGCTGGCTGGGAAAAAGGAGATGAGGAGGATGAGGACGTTGCCAGTGAAGAGCGAGAGATGGAGGAGTGGAACATCTCTCCCAAAAAAATAAAAAAAAAGGGGGCGGGACAGCACCGTGGGATGGAGACCAACGAGGGAAAGGAAAAGCTTCCAGAAACTTCCAAAAAAGGAAAGTGAAGACAAGGCCTTTCTTTGAAATCTGGCGTGCCACTTTAGATTTCATAGGCCCTTAAAACATTCTGCGCAACGCGACATATTGGACTCCAGTGCGGCCATATTTCAAAAAAATCCAAGTGGTGCAGCTCCATTACTCACTAACACCACTTTTCCACCCCAGAAAAAATTTGCCGCCTGTCAGTGCTGTTCTTAGTTGGTGATCAATAAGTTTTTCGGAAGAACGCGTTTGGTTTTCCACCGGCAAAGAGCCAAGTAGGAGCTACGTCATGACATCATCGCAAAGGGTCCGAACGTCACTGGTCACGTTGCCGTTTACCAAGACGGCCTGCGCTATTAATCACAATGATAATAATGCGCCGTTAGCATCCGATAGGCAACTTAGCATAGCATCGATTATACTTGTGTGTAGCGCGTCACAGTCAGGGACAATCAGCAAATGCGTTGATCGTTCTTCATCATTGTAGATGATTACGAGAGTGACATCATTGGTCCAAAGTGCCGCCGCGGGAGCCGGATTCCTTCCGGGATGACTGGTGGGTTGCTGGTTCTGTGCACATCGAGGTCCAGAAGCAGACCGATGGCTCGTCTGAGGCGCTGCGAACCATGACGGCTTTTCGCGGAGGTTGCGAGTGACAGAGACAAATTGACGGGCTGAGACTGTACTTTGTACTTTCGTGGCTGTCTTACAACTGGGCCTCGGAGAGAAGACAGCGGAGCAAAATCTTGGCTCCAGAACAGCGCATGGGCTTCGTCAAAACCTTCATCGTCGGATCCAAACGCACTCGGCGCTTAATTGAATGGCCGCACTCAAACTAATGCTGAATCCGAAGCGTTCCAACGCGACAACGTGTCCAACCAGGGGAGGTCGTGTAAATATGGTTTGCAATCTTGGCAAAAAATGGAAGCAGTGTGGAGATGTAATCTGTTTTTTTTTTCCTCCCCTTTTCATCAATAACAGGAGCCCCGCGTCACCTGCCAACAGCGTTATTACTCGAGCATGTTCCCGCCAAGTCGAAATTTGATGTTTACTACGATCCAAAGCATCCAATTCTGTCCATGAAAACATTCTTAACCTCAATGTCAATCATTCCCGCAAATATGAGTATGTACAAGACAAGAAATACACATGATTGCGACGTGCGTCGCATTACAAGGAAGACTTGACCCGTTGAAAAGGTCTTTTTCATTATTTGGCCCACTTTTGTCACGGAACCAAAAGACCTTGGCTGGTATCAATCCGCATTCTTTATTAAACTCTTCCTAAGCGGCTGAAAGCTGCGCAACTGATGAGGAACTTTTGTTTGAGGGGTGGGGGGGGCTATATATGGCCTTGGCTCATCATTCTCACAATTATAGTCTCCTTGTTACAATCTTTTATGCCCGCTTGGGATGTTCCCGCTCAATCACTTGATGGAATTGGGCTTGGGGGCTTCTCAATTTTGTCCATTGAATCAAAGAGAGTTCAGAGGGCCTCCATATCTGGGAGACAAAACTGGAAGGAGAGCGCGAGGGCATGATTGAGGTCATCGCAATGCTTATCTGATTGCTTATCAAACTTTTTTTTCTCCTTCTTCTACAACCCAGGAAGTGTGTGTGTGTGTGTGTGGGGGGGGGGGTGCACAATGTTTGCCAAACTATGCTTTTAAAAAGACCTCAAGGAGGCCTTGAGCTTTTACAACAACACTGGCGCCGTTCTCTTCCAAATTGGCATCGGCATCAGACGAGGTTGCTCTGACAAGCAGCTTCGCTCCGCAACACGGCCCGAAGAATTCCTCGCTAAGTGGGAAGATCCGACGTGACAGCGCCCTGCGAGCTGGCTCTGATCCAGCAAAGGCCATTGCTCGGAACACTCGTGGGGGCTTGACTACATTCGGAGAAAACGCCAAGACCGGAGGGTGGGGGTGAGGGGGGTCTTACCGTTCAGCCTCCAGGCGCATCTCCTCCCGCTTCTGCCTCCTCAGCTCCCGGCGCCGCTCAAAGTCCATTTCATCCATGATTGTACCCTGGGAAGTGACCAAAAAAAGTGTCAAAAATTGGCTTTTTTATTCAGCGGGATCCCGCTCTCCAAAGGGCCTGCGCTGCTCTCGTCATAGAAAAAAAAACAAAAAAAAAAATCAAGACTAGTAGACTAGAGCAGGCTAAAAACACGCATCGATGTGGCGGCCATGTTGTTCCCATCCATTCCGTTTTGCATCGGCGTATGCACACAGCTCCAAGGAATGGCTACTGTCTACCTATTCATTCCGCTGGATGTTTTTTTTTTTTTTTTTTAAACTCAGGCACTAGTTGTGTACATGTGTCTTGAACATACTGGTTTTGGTACAGTCCGCAGTCGTTTTTGTGTAATTTGTGCGTCATGATCGCAACCAGATGTGTCATTATTCTCCACCCAAGCGGCAACAATCTAAGTTTGGATACATTTCTTGACAATAATTCGATACCCATACTGGGAATTTTTTAGGTGACGCTGAGCCCCCCCCCCCCTCCAGTGCGCCAAACCGAGGTTCCACTCGCCATCAGTGTTGGAAAGACGGCGCCAACGGCAAGGACGAGAAGAATGGACGACACCGGGCAGAAAAGGCGGAAGGACAAGTCACCACAGGATGTTAAAAGCATTCTTCCTAAAAAACACCCACAAGGGTTGGGCGGGGAGACCACCCAGGAGTTGCCAGGCCGAGCGTCATCCGCGTCTATGTTCCCTGCTCGGCCGCCGTGCAGTGGAAGTGCACGGCCGAGCGGAATGAAACAGACTCATTAAGCACTTGAGGAAAAGACAAGGATGCATTCGGAAGAACGGCGGGGAGCAGAGTCGCGGCAACACAGTGCCGTTTCGACAAGAGGGTCCATTTAGGTACAACATGGCGATGCGGAACAAAAAGGATCAGACAGTACCTTCAGTAAACGAGCCAACGCCAGTCTTTTCCTTTACACCAGTGGCATATCATCAGCCGTCTCCTCCAACAGTGAAGCCGACGACAAAAATTCCTGCCCCCTTCCCCTTCTTGTTTCTTGTCCCTCCTTCTATCCCTCACTGACCTCCTTCCGTCTCCTTCCCCTCCCCTCTCTATCGGCACAGTGAAGGCTTCCTGTGTTGTTTACTTAGAAAAACGCTCTCCACGGACATGACTGGGCTCTCGAGCCACACTTCCGGTGTTGCTTTCGGCTTCTTCTTCTGTCTGCTTCCCCCCCCCCGCAGCAAAGGCGCGCGTCGCATTTTGGCCTAAAGATGGGCTGCCATACAGAGACGGCGAATGTGTTTTTTTCTGCAGATGCGAAACTCGTATCCCGGGCTCAGCACATTTATGTCTTAGGTGTTGCAGTCGTGCTTCCTTCCGCCATGTCGAGACGCTCGTGCACGCCGAGCGTCCCGCGATTGAAGGGAGTGAACGGAGCTGCTTTGATTTTCCCGCGATTAAAGTCGTCGATGGCCGCTCCCACAGTGGCGCAGCCCTCCCTGTCATTTTCTTAACCGAACATACATTTTCCTCATGACGAGCACAGGGATGCCTGCTTTTCCACAGGAGACCAAAAAGGGACAACAAGCATCTTTTCACTGCAGCTCCTCACTACTAAGTACAGTAAGCACAGACTGGTTTCCTCACTATGACGCAAGACCGAAACTAGGGGGGATGGATTTCACAACAGTGCAGTGATTCACTCCCTATATTTGGATGTTAAGATAGCGTCGTCTGTGACTGTGGGCAAGGGCCAATTAGCGCTGGCGACGCATGCAACCGTAATTAGAAAGAGACCAGAACACTAAGTACAAGTGACAAGGCCTCCAAACAGCACCAGTCTAATCACACACGTCTCCATATACGCGGGGGACGCCAAGGGAGACACACTACATTAGTTTCGCCCGGAATGTCTCGAAATGAAATATGGTTCAGAATTTAATGACTAAAAGATAAGGTCCATCAACAGAGCCGACACAAATGAATCGTATAGCAGGACTTGACGAGAATATCAAATCAGTATTTGGGCTGCGACGGTTAACTAATGATACATTTAATACGTTTACCGAATAAATGCAATCTCCTAAGAATCTCTGGGCTTTTAAATGGAAAGTGCAAAGCAAAGGGCCCAAGGGGGAAGCCTCTGGCTTGCATAAAAAGGGCCTCCGCAAGATGTGTATGTGTGTAAAATGGTGTTTAGCACCAGAGGGACCACCCACACTTCCACCAAAGCTACTATAACAGAAGCGGAATGAGAGGAAGCAAAGGAAGACGGCGTTCCATGCCGTCGAGCGACCCCAAGTGCAAAGTCGGGAGACGGATTTTCATGTTCAAGTTCGGCCGACCAGCTCCCTACTGACCTGAAATCTGGATCGATCTGCCATGCCTCTTTATTCTCCCGACGGTGACACGTTTACCAAAGGTTGACTTCATTGTCACAAAGTTACGAAAAATATTCCTTAAGTCATGACGACGATGCCACGATAAAATATTCGCTTTCCTCTCGGCATGGCGCTGACATCAGCTACACGCTACTATACGTTCGCGTTAAAAGCCAGTTCTTTTTGGCGTGCAGGTGAAAGCAGGCATTCCGGCCCCGTGGCCCGCCCTTTTTCTGTCCGCGAAGACATTTTGAAGTGGCGAGTTAACGACAGCCGCCCTGACCCGCTCCCGGCGTTCAATAAGTAACGCTAGCAAAAGGGGAGCAGACGCCGTACGCTCGGGGCTTTGCCGGCTGAGATGTAGCGGTAATGCGGAGTATTTTGTCATTAGGTCGTTATCGTGAGACGATCGTACAGCAGATAAGGCTGCCGCAGTCGGAGAGGGAGGAAGAGCGGGGAGGGGAAGAAAGACGGCGATAGGCTTAATGCGTGCCTGGAGGCGCTGAAGATGAACAGCTGTTTTGGCAGAAGCTCCAGAGACAGTTTGGAGTTGTGTAAATGTTTTCTGCAGGCGTCGCACTGGCGTCTCCTGACGGTACAACAGAGGAAGATAGCGGCAGAGCAAAAAACTCCACTCGAGGGTGTCTGTGCGTCATCTGACAACAAATATTAGTCACAACGTTACATTTTTTTGGATGGCATCGCGGGCCACTTTTGATGTCTCATCGTCACGATGCGTCTTAAAAATCACGGTTCGGTACGTCCAAAGGCCATGGAAGACGACACGGCGGGCCGGCTGTGGCTCACGGGCCTCGGGTTTGCCACCTGCGCAGGAGCCTCGCGAGCGTTATTGCATATGCGCGATTTCCATCAGTACCCACAGCGCTTGTGGTCGTCTCCGCTATGCACCTTCACTCTCGCGTGCGGGCGCTCGGCAGCGCGAAGACATTTACGGCGGCGGGCTTTGGGGATCCGAGCTGCCGCAGATGAGCATTCATGTACTCACTGGAGGTTTTCGGGCGGCGCGGCCAAGATATTTCCTATTTTC